GGGGGGGGGGGCTATTGGAAAGAGGAGGTTGGAGGGGTTCGCAGCCATTCGAGTCTCTTGGCTCGCGAGCGGGGTCTGTGGCCGCGCTAGGGGACACAGACGGGTCTTTCCATGGGGTGCGACGAAAGTCTGAGGCTCAGTTGCCTGGGGTCTGGTGCAGCCCATTCGCATCTCCAGCCTTACGAGCGCATTCGCGAGCGCCGTCCCGTCAGCGACATCCTCCATTGCCTTCGCTTCTCCGTTGTTGCGCCACGCGGCTGCGGGCGAGGGTGTATGGGTTACCTCTCGACGCCAACTGTTTCCCGTCCTTCTGACAGGTGATGGACTCCAGTTTTCTGCGCTTCGACATCCCGTCTCTGCGTCCTGCGTCAGTGAGTGGCCACCGTCGTATGCGCTGAGCCCTTGTCGAACGGTTGCGCCGTCGTCTGCGCTTTGCCGTCATCTAAGAACTGCGCCTCGTCAAAGAACTGTGACCTTTCAAAGAGCTGCGCCGTCGTGAGCGCTGTCCCCTTGCCAAGGTAAAGTGATGTTCTGCCTGTCCACGTGTCAGTCGTCGGGCATGTTTGCAGGCGCATGGGAGCAGCCGCGTCGCGTCACCTGTTTGAAGTTGCGGGGACGGCGGGAACGGATGTCGCTGACATTGGGCCACATGGTTTATGTATGCCCCTTTGATTCCCGCTTGTTATTTCCTCACGAGGGGCCCCATGATTCTTGCTTGCCATCATCATCATCATCATCATCGCCATCGTCATCACCATCGTCATCACCATCATCATCACCACCAACATCATCGTCATCATCATCATCATCGCCATCATCATCACCACCATCATCACCACCATCATTATCGTCGTCATCATCATCATCATCATCATCATCATCATCAACCTCATCATCATTGTCAACCTCATCATCATCATCATCATCATCATCATCAACATCATCATCATCATCAACAACATCATCATCAACATTGTCAACGTCATCAACATCACCAACATCATCAGCGGCATCATCGCCGTCATAAAAATCACCACCATCATCGCCTTCGTCATCGTCGTCATCATCAACAGCATAATCATCATCGTTATCACCGTCGTCATCATCTTCGTCATCATCATCATCATCATCATCATCATCATCATCATCATCGTCGTCGTCATCATCTTCGTCATCATCATCATCATCGACATCATCGTCATCATCGTCGTGTTGATGACGACGATGACGACGATGATGTTGATGATGATGACGCAGATGCTGACGACGACGATGATGATGATGATGATAATGCTGATGATGATAACGAAAATGATGACGACGATGATAACGATGATGATGATGTTGTTGATGATGACGACGATGACGAAGGCGACGATGGTGGTGCTTTTTATGACGGCGACAATGCCGCTGATGATGTTGATGATGTTCGCCATCATCATCAGCACCATCGTTGTCCTGATCAACATCACCACCGTCATCATCACCAACATCGTCATCATGATGAACATCGTCAACAACATCAACATCAACATCAATGTCGTCATCACCATCATTATCATTATCATCATTTCGTGCCGCGTGTCGCAAGCGGTGGGGACAGCGGGAACGCATGTCGAAGACAGTGGGCCACACGGTTTCCGTGTCCCAATCTGCTTCTCTGTCATTCGTTCCACATGTCCCATTCTGCTATTCTCTCATTCGTTCCACGTGTCCCAAGCCCAACATTGCAAAACACTCCCGCGTGGTTACCCTAGTGAACATTGCAATACACTGCCGCGTGGTTGTGGCAAACACGAAATCGCCTATTCCCAGCAGAACACGAAACCCCCTCGAAACACTTCCCTCGCACGTTTGCTGTTCTCATGAAACAGATTACACGTTGGTTATCACAACTGCGCCAACAACGACGGGAAGTGGTCGCGGCAGTGTTGGTGAGCGACAAGCGGGTGCGACATGGGTTGCGCGCAACCAGTGTTGGTATTAAGCGTCGCGTGGGCGGCCACGGTGCGAAGGATGTCCATCGTCCACGTGGCGTGCAGTGAGAGGGATGGTATTCATAAAGAGGAGGGGTTCATTGTCCGTGTTCGTGTTCTCGCCACAACACTTGAGCCTCCCTCCCCAAAGAGACTATGGAGTCAATCCCGGGAGAGCTTTTGTCGTCTCCATCCCGCACACACAACGTGCACATGATCCACCATGGAGGCCGTAGATGTTGAGCGCGCGCTCCTGGCGCTGGTCGTGAGGGACGCGACAGCGCATTCCGCACGACGAATGCCAGGACTGTGCGCTCAACATCTGCGGGCTCCAAAACGAAGAATGCACACGTCGGGTGTGCGCGAGAACTCCAATGCCGCTCGCTACAATGACGATAGCTTTTCTTCGGCGTTAGCGCGGCTTGTTTCGTGACGACAACCTCAACACGAAAACATGGCCTCGTTCAATAATGAACAACCCGGGCGCCTCCGGGAAACGTCTCTGTCAACGGGGCAAGGGGGGTCGCCATTATGACCGCAAGCGCGAAACCAACAACAACCAAACAGAAAACGGCGCGTGGCGTGTTGTTGCCTGCCGAATTGGGTAGTTCTGATCCGGCGAACTAATAACAATCATGCACATTGCTCTCGCGAAAACGGCAATCAGTTGTCGTCGCGTGGTCGCAGGGAGAGCACAAGCAGGTATGAAAACATTGCATGATTGCTGTAGTTCGCCAGCATCCGAAGTTCCCTTTTCGACAAGCTTTCACACGCGACTGTCAGCGTGCGACGAAGTTCGGATCCCGGCGCAGGGAGAGCGCATGCAGGTATGAAAACGCCCTGCCAGTTGTCAGCGTGCGACGAAGTTCGGATCCCGGCGGACTTGCGATCTCAAGCATGCGAAGTCGCGAGCTGCTCAGAGTCCTGGTTACATGACTGTTCTTTGGGAGGCGGTGCCGCAAATTTCAATGGGACCCCGAGAAAAGCAAAGTGTTTCATGCTCCCGGTCGGACGCGGCAACCGATCTCAAGCTCGGATCCAGGCGGACTTCGTGGTTTGGGGTCGCGCTGCGCCCGATTTTGTTGTGGTGCATCCACCACTACCCTTTCATCTGCGCGTGCTGTCGTACAACGACAACTTGAGAGCGGCACAACCTTCCTTCTGTGTGGCCAAGCATAGCGTTCCTTGTGTGCACCCACTGGCGCTCCGTTCCACTGGCATCAGCCGCGCAAAAACAGGTTCTTTGCTACTCCAGCACCAGCCAAATTCGGATCCCGGCGGACTTCGAGGGTCTGCGTGAATCTGACCGTTGTTTTCAACGGCTTGGACTTCTCCGTCCGTCTTCAATGCCGGCAGCCTGGTGGTACGCGAAACTCCTCGCCTCGTGAGTTGGCCTGAAAGGGGTTTATTGGGGTGGACGACGGTGTCACTGGCCGGGTCCATTTCTCGTGTGTCGTGGATCTTCGTTCATCGACACCCCGAAATGCGGTGCGCCCGAGCACCGCCTGCTTCTATGCAAACGTCATCCGCCCGTTCCAAATGCAGGCGAATCCACCAAGTTCGGATCCTGACGGACTTTGGGGGACGGCGCAAACCTAACCGTCCTTCGCATGACGCCTGGAGCTTCGAGTGTGAGTTGATTGCAAGAGGACTGTGGGTGCGAGAAATTGATCGCCCTCTGAAATGTCCTTCAAGGGGTTCATGGGAGTTGCCGAAAATAAGAGACACCGTCGTTGTCACCGTCGGCAACCCCCACAAACCCCTTCAAGGGCATTTATAAAGTCAAGCAATTTTCCGCATCCACGATCTGTGTTGCCCCCCAATGTTTTTGACCGTCGCGGTTTGCGGAGTCTTGTCGCAGACATGCTTGTGTTTCTGCGTGCTGTCCGGTTCGCGTTGTCGCACGTCGTCGTTCCCGGCGCGCGAATCGGGGGTCGCCTTCTCGACTGCCCGAATCAATGTTTGGAAGGGTGGAAGGGGGGATCTTTCATCCTTTTGTACATTTTTTTTGTCTGCGCTGTGGAGGTGTCGGAGTTCGATAAGCTCTTGCACTAGTGCCTGTGAATGGAACACCGCACGAGCTCACTTGGACGATGGTGAGAATCGGTGTTTATAGGGGTCATTTTGGGGTCGCGCTGCGCCCTATTGTGTGCTAGTGCATCCACCACTAGCCTTTCTTCTGCACGTGCTATCGTTCACCAACAAGCGTTCCTTCAATGCACCCAATGACGCTACCTTCCACTGACACAGGCCGCGCGAAAACAGGTTCCTTGCTATTCCAGCACCCGCCAAATTCGGATCCCCGTGGACTTTGAGGTTCCGCGAAAATCTGACCGTTGTTTTCAACAGCTTGGACTTCCCGTTCCGTCTTCGATGCCGCCGGCCTGGTAGTGCGCAAAAGTGCTCGCCTTGTGAGTTGCCCTGAAAGGGGTTTATTGGGGTTGACGACGCTGTCACTGGCCGGGTCCATTTCCGGTGTGTCGTGGATCTTCGTTGATCGCCGCCCCCAAATGCAGTGCGGCCGAGCATCGCCTGCTTCTGTGTGAAAGCCATCCACCCGTTCCAATACCTGCAGCCGCGCGAAAACCTGTTACTCGATGCAGGCAAATCCACCAAGTTCGGATCCTGGCGGACTTTGAGGATCGGCGTGAATCTATCCGTCATTCGCATGACGCCAGGATCTTCGAGTGTGAGTATATTGCGATAGGACTGTGGGTGCGAGAAATTGATTGCCCTCTCAATAGCCCTTGAAGGGGTTCATGGGGGTTGTCGAAAATAAGGGACACGACCGTTGTCGCAGTCGGCAACCCCCATAAACCCCTTTAAGGGCATTTCAGAAGGCGAGCAATTTTTCGCACCCTCGATCTTTGTTGCCCCCCAAGGGTTTTGGTCGTCGCAGTGCGAGGAGTATTGTCGCAGACATGTTTGTGTTTCTGCGTGCTGCGCGGTTCGCGTTGTCTCCCGTCGACGTTCCAGGCGAGCGAGTCGGGGGTCGCCTTCTCGACTGGCCAACTCAATGTCTGGAAGGGTTGCAGGGGGGATCTTTCATCCATTTCTGCATTTTACTTGTCTGCGCAGTGGAGATGTCCGAGTTCGATAAGCTCTTGCACTAGTGAATGGAACACCGCACTTGCTCGCTTAGACGATGGTGAGAATCGATGTTTATAGGGGTCAGTTTGGGGTTGCGCTGCGCCGAATTGTGTGGTGGTGCATCCACCACTACCCTTTGTTTTGCGTGTGCTTTTGTTCAACGACAACACAGCCTTCCTTCTGTGCGCCCAAACCTGGCGTTCCTTGTGTGCACCCACTGGCGCTCCCTTCCACTAACACCGGCCGCGCGAAAACAGGTTCCTTGCTACTCCACCACCCGCCAAATTCGGATCCCGGCGAACTTTGAGGCTCCGCGTGAATCTGTTAGTTGTTTTCAACAGCTTGGACTTCCCAGTTCGTCTTCGGTGCCGGCGTCCTGGTAGTGCGCGACATAGCTCGCCTTGTGAATTGCCCTAAAAGAGGTTTATTGGGGTTGACGACGGTGTCAGTGGCGGGGTCCATTTGCGGTATGTCGTCGATCTTCGTTGCCCTCCAATAAAAGCAATCGTCGCGATCAGTGTGGTTTAGTCGCTGTCATGCTTCTGCCACGGTGTGCTTTGCGGTTCGCGCAGTAGGGTGTCGACATTGCGAAGGCGCTGCGGTGTCGATGCCTCGCGGGCTGCAAAGGCTTTGAGTCTCGGCACACAACTTCCGAATCGACGTGCAGTTACTCGGGGTTTGCGGGGGTCGGCTGAGGGTCATTAAGCCATGTTTTCTTTTGTCTCCTGCATTTTCTAGCCTTCCGTTCGTTATGACGATTGGCCGACAGTTCGTTATGATGATTGGTCGACAGTCTGTTCACTCCGACCCGTTGATAATCGGTTGGTCGTCGATTCGAAATCTGCGAAGTTCGGATCCCGGCGGACTTGTGTGGTCCTCGACAGTTCGGTCGTCCCTTGCGCACGCCTTACTCCTCATAGGACACGTCCTGCTAGGCGAAACAGACAAACAAAAATGTGTCGATAAATTAACAACAAAGATTGACGCCTGGCCTGTGGAGTGTCCGGCCCATAACCAAATATAGCCGACCACTTGCAGGCAGCGCGAGGTAGACATCTATTAATGTGGGCCGCGTTACAGGCTTCCTCATAAAGACTCACCATGCATGAGTTCGCAAACTATCGAAGCGATGGCATGTTATATCCTGTCCATACTGTCGTGGCCCTCGGCGTTATCGAGGGTCTCATTCGACACTCAAGTGTCGGCTGACACACGCCTTGAGGGACTTGCCTCTCGACGCTAAACAACCGCCAAGACGGTTGCAGTACCTACCCTCTTCAGCTACCTGCGGGAGCGACGGGTGGGCGGGCCAAGGCCCTTTGTAGCAACTGAGTTCCATTTGCGGAGGCCTTTAAAAAGGTCAAGGGGTTTGACTTTGGCAGCTGCTACGGACTTCAACGTCCAACTACAAAACTATAAAAAGCAAAAAGGGGAGGGGTGTCTCTGTTTTCTACTGGGGCAATTCTGAGCGTCGAAGTCGATGCAAGAAAAATTCGGCTTCCCTTCGGCACATGCATTCCAGGCCTTCAAAGGACTTCGATCTCCGCCGAGTTCGGATGTCAGCGCACTTCGCACGTCACAGTTTGTGAAATCGTTTGTGCCACCCAACTGTCAGACCACGCCTTCCATGTGCGGCAATTTGG